CGCTCCCGGGAAGTCTTCCGAGCTCGGCGGCAGTGCCAGAGTATGCGCGGTTCCCCGCCAGCCCGGCGGAGACGATCTGTGCTGTCCCTGGGGCACACGTAGATCACCGAAGTGCTTGAGACTTCCCAGCCCTGGTTCTGGGATCTAAGGAGCTGGCTGCTTGAACTCCCTTTGTACTAGCTTCACCGGCAGATTCTAAGGAAGTCACTTTGTGTCCTTAGCACAGAAGAAAGACCTTTAGATCCAGTCTGATCCCAAAGGTTGCAGGAACCTGGAGTACGCTGAAACATGGATTCCTCCCTAACATCTCCCTCCCTTCGTGTCGTTTCCCCTTTATTCCAGCCTGTACTCTTTCAAAGGATATTTGAAGTCTCCCTTTTCTCTGCTTACATTTTTTTTTTTTAAATTTTCTCCTCTTTTCATCCAACTTTTTTTTCCCTTTCTCATATCTGGCAGCCTCAGCATTCCCCCTCCCTTCTTGAGGAGGGCTTGGAGCTGTGCAGATTTTAAAGCCAGAGAACACTGTGATGCATTTAGTCTGCGCCATACAAATTATTTCAATTAACTCCCTGTACTACTGTATGTCTTTCAGAAACTAAACAATTATATTTATCTAGTTTTGGCACCCTATCCCCAAGCAGTATCTTTGGTAGCTATCTGAAGAAGTCATCCTTCAACAACTTCCTTTTTCGGGCCATGTTGTCACTTACCTAAATTGAGATAATCCTTCAGTTTCTTGGTTTCATGCACTTGCAGCTCTCCTCCTGCATTTCTCAGTATCCTCAGATCATGCTTTTTTGACCTCAGCACTTCAAATACCCCTCAGAACTCCTCTCTCCTGAGCTTTTAAGTTTTTACAGTGTCGTGTGACTGCCAAGTCAATTTTTCTCCTCAGCACTACAAATCTTTTACTAATCTTGGACCTTTTCCTGTGAAAGACTTGCTCACTAAATTTGCTAATAAGTGGTTAGGTCACACTTTTCATTGGGATTCTCCTTGCTCATTGGCAAGACCCATGGTCTGTAAGTCATGATCCCTTTCCTATGGCACTTACAATGAGTAAAAATTAGAGCTCTTTTCCTCCATACTCCTGAGAACTAATAGTTTTCTACCTAACCAACCTAAATAAAAGCTTTTTTTGGCGTCTTTATAATTACTTGTCTTTTGAAATGCTTTTTTTTTGCTTGCTTTTACTCATTTATCTCACTTATGCCTCATATTTGTTTAAAATAGAACTGCTTATTGAGATAAAAGCATAAAAACAGACAATGACTGGAGCTGTAAAAGGCCTGGTAATATAGTTAAAATAGTTCCAGGTAGCTCAACCAAAATCAACATGTTTTCATGACACGGTGGTAGAGAATGGGGCCTGAGAAAGCTCTCTGGGCATTGCAATTCCTTTTGGAAATGAAGACGGCCCAGGTGGCTGTTGGAATTTCTGAAGTTATGTTAAGGAGTACTTTGTAAAAGCCATGAAGATCAGGAATAATTCAAAAATTATTTCTACACTCTGTTTTACCTTCAGAAAAAGAGAAGCCCTCAGGAAATGTTTAAAAACTGGGAAAGAAAAGCAACAATGTTGCCTTGATTTCCTCTTTCCACCATTAAAATAAATACCTGCTCATGTGACCATGTTCGCTCTGAGCCGTCCTTCACACAGATGTCCAGCCTCAGCTCAGTCCCCGTGGCTCCATGTTTGCTGTCCACACACAGGTTGGCTGCCACGTTTCGAATCTGCAAATCCAATCAGCAACATTTCACATTACACTGGGCTGCAGAACAGAGCTTTCAGCATCAGGGAGCCAGGGCTTTAGCTCTGAAGAACTTGAGATTGACTATCAGTTAGTAAAACTGGTAAGAATTACTTTTTACAGGGTAGAGAGCTGTGTCCTGGAATGAACTACTCTTTATAGGAGCAGCTTCAGAAGAAGCAAAGTTTGAAATATTCTGCTTAACAAATGAAAGGTAGGTCTTAAGAAAAATACCTTCATGCAAAAAAACTAAAGAGAAAAAGAAGTTCAAAGCTTGTCTAACTGCTTCTTCCATCCTATGAGAGCAAGAGAGATCAACAGTATTAGAAGGAACTGATTTCTGTACGAGTCTCTCCCAGGCATGGGAGCAGTCAGCACGCATTAGAAATTCAGGCCTGGCCTGCTCCAATCCATGCTCTTACTTTGACACAATAACACCCTTGTAGATAAGGTCACATGTTACTCCCTGAAGTGCATAAATTAAAAAGTACTTAACAAGTCTGCACTGAAACCTAGGCTTTTAAAAAGTACTTAACAAATCTGTACTGAAACCTATGCTTACCCATGGAGGTTCCTCCTGCATGCCTGCTGCAAACATTGCAGGGTAACTTATTCTTAAAAGGAAAATCTTGTTCTTGAGGCTGAAGCAACTGAGTAATAATTAATCTGTGACTATCAATCATACCAGTTATGTACTACTGCTGACATGTAAATTTTCTCTGAAACATTGGGTTGAAAAGTAGATTTGCCCACTGCCACCAAAAAGAGCAAAATCCTAACTTTGTGTTGCAAATCCATGCACATTTCTCCTTAAGTTCCTTAGCTGGGCTAGTTAAAAATCCTTTAGACACCTCCATAATGAAAAGAATTTCTTACCCTCTAAATGAGATAAACAGAAACTGAGTAACCAAAGTGCACAGAAACACACACAAATTCTTAACATATATAGAAAGCAGGTGCATATTTTGACATTCTGGGTGCTACTTTGATCCTTTTTTAAAAGAAAGCCAGATGCTTTCTAGAATGGAGATACAACTGAGTAGTCACTTGTGCTTTGTCATGAAAAATACTTTACAAGTCACTGCTGTTGCCATAATATGCCTAACAAACATACACATTGCCACTGCACACCTCATACACATCCCAAGGATGCAAAACTTCACAGCATTCCACAAAACATTGCGAGGAAGGGAAATCCTTGTGCATGCAAGACACGTGCCAGAGCTACTCTGCTCTTTTTCTGATTCTGCAGGAGTGGGATCCAGTCTATTAACCATGCTCAAGAAAGATTTACACAGATGGGAACACAACAGATAGTAAGAAAATGTAAAAACTGTAAAATGTAAAAATTCTCAGGAAAGGTTTCAGGAGGTGCATTTGTTTAGCTTAGAAAGTTGCAGACTGGGCAAAAGATGGGCGAGCATCAGTTTGAACAACTGACTCCAGGAACATTTGATCCTTCACCAGGGCTCAGAGAAACATTAAGAAAAAAATTTGGACCAGCCCAGTCCGAGGATATTTTTTGTTTTTTCAATAAAATAAAAGTTGCTAAAGATGAGGTAAAACACACTAGCTGTTCATACACACAACCAGATACAGAAATCCAGCACTGGGCAGACCCACAGTAAAAAAAATGAAAGGTGATTAGTTCTCAACAACCTTCATTTTAATATTATCCAGCAAAAGAGGCAGGAAAGGATAATGAGGGGAATAGAATTTAATGTCTCTTTTTAAAGTTTCATGTGAAATAACTTCTCAGAGTATAATTTTTTTTGGAGAATGTTCAATCATGTCTCAATGCACTTAAATTTCCATTGCATAGATAAAGATTTCTGGTCTAATAGAAAATTAAACGATCCATCAGTTCAGTTCTTACAGCATGCAAGTTAATTAAAATGGAACTGCTAACAATTGCCATTAATAATTGGGTATATTTATGTGACTCAGAATTGTAAAATGACAGTGAATACACTCCACATCCAATTAATGCTTAGTGCATTAAAAGGCTTTCATAATTTTGTCTCGATGGCATCGCTCCATCCCAGTCTCTCTCATTTGGACCGTGTAGTAAATGTGTTCAGTCCATTTCTGGAAAAGGCTTGAGCTGAAGCTACATTTAGTTCCTTCACTGCTGGAATCTCTCTCACATTCTTTATTTCCTCTCCTCTTCCCTCTGCTCCTGGAAGGTTTGCTTGAGTTAGTTTTTCCTCTGTTTTTTGCAGCTTACATGTTACCTCGTCCTTTTTTTTGTTTCATCCTTTCAGCTGCAGAGGGGTCATGGTTTGTTTTTTGTTTTCTTTTTGTAATAAGGCATTTCAGTCAAGTCTGTGCTTTTGTTCTCTGGCATTTCTGTGTGGCCTTGGCAGTTGCTAGAAACTGAACTGAGCCATCATGCCAGAGCCAGAGCCAAGGGGAACATTCTGCCAAGCATCAGCACCACACAGCCTGCAATTCCCTCAAGATGCTTTCATGGACAAAGGAAGGAAAGCAGAAGCACAGGGTTTTTTCTTCTCATTTATACACCAATATGCTTTTGAACTGCTTTGTCTCCAGTCACACAGCACAATGGATTTAGAATTTTTAAGGTTATGAGATACAAATAGAAAACAAATAGCTAGTGATCCTAACATGTTTCCAACATTTTCATTTGTGAAATTGTAAGACCACAGATGAACAGGAGATAGATTTTATCAGCCATGAAGGTAAGGCATTGAGTTACTACATACAAAACTTTTTTGCTCAGCCTTAAATGCCATCATTTGTACACACAGATAAGCATACAGGAAAATCATGTTTCCAAGAACTTCAATATATGCACTGACAAGGATGGTAAGTGGTGATATTAAAGGCTATTTCAGACTTAAACAAATTCTTACAAAAGCACAGGACGCTCTCTCTAAGTCATCATACATAGTTAGTTCTTGAAATGCCACCCTAACTCCCTATGGGCACTGTAGTCCTTGCAGAGAGCAGACGAGGTGTAGAAGCATAGAGAATACAGACTCCTTGAGACAAGCAGTTATACTGACCAATATTCTTTGGTAATTCTAAAACTCTACAACTTTTCCCAGGCAAATGAGTTCCTGCAAGACTTGCTGTTGAGGTAGTAGCTGATGTCCTGGCTCCTGCAGCCTTGCCCCACCTGCCCTGGAGCCAGGCTGTCACCCAGGTGCCACCCACTTCACCCTTCATGGAACCTGGCAGTGGTGAGCCAGAGTGGGAGAGCCAAACTCCCAGGGGTTCTGGGAGATGCCCTGCATGCTCACCATGACATGAAATTCTCCGTGCCAAAAGCAGAAAGAGGGAAAGTGTAGCAATCTAAAGACAATTGTATGTTCAATACCGTCATCTGTGAACAGTGACTGTGAAGATGGTGTTAGGACAATGCTTATGGATATCGCAACAACAGAAGCACCTTGTACTATCAGTTTATGTAATCCTCTCCCCTACATCTTATTTAATGCCTTAAATATGAAAATGGATTTAACTCCTAGAAGACATTAGCAGTACTCATTTATGTTACTTTTCTTTTGTTTGAGCAGCACTTAGAGCCAGTTTTAGTGCACTGCTTACATACTCAGATAACCCTAGGGCCACCAATGTCTATGGATCAAATATATAAAAATGAGCCACTTCTTCTGTCAACCAATACACAGTAATTTTAGAACTATTTATCCTTTGTGTGAGCCATGAGAAAGAAAAAGTCAAAGGTAAAGAAGTCAAGCACTGCCAAAAACCTCACTGAAGAAACACGAGACTCTTACTCAGCGTGACATTGATCCTGATAAAAGAATTTGAACAGTCCAGCTGTGCAGCACTCGGTCTGTGCAGGGTGGGGTTATATTGCTTTTGTTCAACAGATGTGTGACACTTGCTGGGCTCAGACTGATTCATTAAGGGTATAAGGATGACACATTTTAAAAGAAGGAAAATAACTGAAAGAGAAGTTAGTGAGCTCTTAGGCTTTCTTCTTTTTTCAAATGTGCCACTTGACTTTATGTGTGACATTTTCATGTCAGTGCTGTAAAAATCCATGAGTTGGGGGCAGAGAAAGGAGCACTCTCAGGTTCTGCTGCTTAGCACTGCTGCATTGACTGAGACACTTCCTCATTAAATTATTGAAGTTCATGTAGCAGCAAGTGAAACCAAGATTAAATAATTCCCTTTTGACTGAGTAAAGCAACTTTTTTGCACCATCTTGACTATAGAACTCATGAAATCTAAAATAAATGACAATGTCTAATATTATATGATTGATTTAATGCAAAATGTGTTTTCAAAGATACTGGAAGCTGTGATATCTGCACAATATATTCGTTCATGCTGGATCACAGCTTGTAAATTCATGAGCACTGCCTAAGAAAACACCTTGTGGCAAATTCACACCTATTGTTTTAGGTAGCAGGACTTCAAATTCATACTACAAATATATAATTCCATCTTAGAAAAAGCGTGAGATGTGTATTACTGTTTTCAACTCATACCAGACTTTCTAGTATATTCAAAAGAGTAAGAAAAAAACCTAATTGAAAACTTTCCTCTTTTCCACAGTGGAAAAGAGTACAGTTACACCACTCAAACACAGAACTGCCAGTCTCACTAACATTAATCTACCTGGATTTGCTGTTACATTGCTCTATGGCACATATTTCAGATGTTACAAGGCAGAACAGATTATCAAGGGTATGTAGACCCTGTCAGCTACAAGGACAAAGGCACAAACACACATAAGAGATAGGGCCATGACAAATATAGAAAAAACCCTGCTTTTTGTTTTCAAAATGTCCCTATTTTCTATCATAAACAGATTTTTTCAAATGTAAGAGTCAGATTTTAAATAAATGTGTTTGCAAAAAAAGAGGAGCTGAGCAGAGGCTGTTTATGAGACGTCTGCTTTCACAGCACATGCTTTTACTAGCTAGATATCAAAATACTAGAGCCAAATTTGTCTGTGTACTTTAGTGTTTACTCCTTCTCAGACTGGCATAGGCAAGCAGACATAAAGTATTTCCAAATGGAAGCAGAGAGGGTACTAAACGACAGTCAGTGTTGGGACAGACTTTTGGTGTGTATAATCAGCAAGGTTTCAAGAGCTGAGTGATTCTTTCAAAGCAGTAACATTACAGTCTGCTTCCCTCTTTCAGCTTCTCACAGTCATTGACCTTCAAGGTTTTTCAAGGTCCTTGCAAGTGCCAACAAATTAATTAAAAATTCACAGGAATGTGATAATCTCAGGAAAAACAAGAGAAGGAGGGCTGAAAGTTCTCTTCCTGTTATTTTAAAGAAAGTATGTTTTAAACAAAAAAGAAAATCTTTCATCTTCATGTCCTTCCCAAGAATTTAGTAAATGCTTTTAAGGCACAGATGTCACACCATTGGTATGATTTTGATTTACTGTTAAAATACTTGGGTTTATGCAGAGATTCTATTAATATTGCTGTGAAAAGAATGAATACCTGAATCACAAGCTCCTCCTCTAGACCCTCTTGATTGAGTTAAGGATTGTCCAGCTGGCCAGAGAAATTACACATCTCCTGATCCCAGTTCTCCAAGGACACCCATGTATAAACGTGAAAGATGGTGAAGGAAGATCACAGTAGGAGTCACAGCAATCTGATCCAGCCTGACTTCTACTGATAAATTCCTTACCTCTCATTACACATTCATCTCACAGAGTGGGCAGCACCATCAAAAAGAAGAAACTTTAACAACAAAGGAATTCATTACTGCCAAGAAGTAGCAAACAGTATGACACATATAAATTGGAGTTTCTTTGAACATCTGTAACTGGTTGCTTATAAAGAAGAATTAAGGAATGCTAGTACCAAAGAAATATATTTTAGAAATCTCACTATGAGGTAATTTGCCTTTCTAAATATAAATTCTGGACAATAGTAGAGGTTCCTATGTTTAGAAGTCTATGGTCCAGTCTCGACCACTAGGAATATGCAGACTTGTGCCTGATCTTACCAAATGTTTTGGTCAAAGTTTCAACTTCAGTCTCTGTTTTCAAATATGAAAGTTAATTTTCTGACAGCCTCAAGAATAAACACAAAAAATCAGAAAAGGCTGGAACTCACAGTACAGATATTCCTATAGTTTTTAAAAAGTAGCACAATCCACTGGAAGAGTGAAACATTCTTTATATATCTTAATAAACTGAGAGGAAAGAGCTTTCTGCGCATGACCTATCCATGGCATGAAGCTACTGTAGTTTAGGGGGCAAAAGCCACAGCAATTTTTCAGTGCAACCAAGGAAGTAATTTCTCCTCACGGCTCTCCTTGTGTTTTCATTTCTTCTGCACAAAACAAACTGTCAAAGCAAGGTTTACTACAGCTCTGCTCTTTACAAAGGTCTGAATGCAGAGCATCTTTGATCACAGCTGCCTGTTTGCTCAGCCCTTGCTCTCCAGTGATACTTTTGTGGTGTCTCCCTCCTCTCATGAATCAATGGAGAAATTGTATTTGTCTGCTACTGGGAGTCGGTGATGACAACACCTACAGAATTTATAGAACAGCTGAGCAAGATCAGTCATTTTAAAAGGAAAGTATCCAGGCTTTGCTTTTCACATACCACGTGTGAGCAAACCTAACTCCATCTGCACACAACTGTCTTTGTAAGGACAGCAGGAGTTATCCCAGTAGATATGCAAAAAACCCCAAGCAGTGACTTCAGACCTCCTTTCTACTAAGGTGGTTCTCTGAATCTCAAATCTTCTGCAACATGCAGTAATGAGTGCTACATACTTTTTTACTCATTCTTGTCCTCATTGTGCATACATCATATGCCCTCTACACACAAAGCTGAAATGAGTTACAAAAGCAACAGTGATAGTTTTAAGACATGACAGTTTCTCATTTTAACGGATAGTTCAGGGACTGTTTCAACCTCTGTGAACTTCCTTAATAACACTACTTAACATCAGGTTTACTCCCATTTAATAATTTTAATTTCCCTCAATCTGAAATGTTAGATTCATTTAAATTCAATCTATTCCTCACCTCCCCCCAGGCAGCAGGTAGAGGCTCCACAGGAGGGTAATATTTGGGGACATCCCAAGCCACTGCAGCCATGAACCACTTGAAGTCTTTACACTTGAGGTGCTTGCGCAGCTCCTTCTGGGCAGAGATGTCACCAGTGGAGAGATGTCTGTACTCGGGCCGTCGCTGGTAAATGTACTCTGCAAACTCATCCATCCACGTCTCGGCCACTCGCTTCAGGTTCTGTGGGGCACAAAAAAGAGTAAACATTAATTTCCTCATGTTCTGAGTGAATGATGTTCATAACAGGGAAAATTTAAAACTAAACAAAACAAGAAATCAGCATTCCACACAACTTTTAAGCTTAGTTGGTCTCATTTCTCAGTCTTAAAACCTGGAAGAGTTCCAGTAATCGTACGCTATATTTATTGCAGTGTTGAGCACACACTACAGAGTACTAAGTACCTTGCTTTCCTGCTGGCTCTGTGAGAGACAGCCTTCTTCTGTTGAACATCTTATTTTCCTTCACATTCTTTGTGCACATTCTTCATATGGGTTTTTGATTAATGATGGATGTAGAACAAAAATTTCCTTTCTGCTGCTTACATTGGCCCCTGTTTTTTTCAGACCTGCTAATGTGGCAGAATGGTTCAAATTCTTCTTTCTGATGTATTTCACTTTGCATTTGAAAGGCATCTGAATTTCAATCTGTCACGATACTGCTTAGTCACCAAGCAATTCCTACCTAAATTTTAGGGTGACGTCTTACAAGTGAATGTTTGGGGGCAAGCAGCCCTGAAGAGGAATTGATTTGAAGAAAAAGTCACTAACTGGTCACTAACTCCTGGAATAGGAGCCACAACAACCTGTGGCTTTCTGCACTCACTCATCCTATGAACATATCTAAGACTATTTTGGTTCCATGAAACCCAATTCTGGCTGTGTTCCACAAAGCTCATTTTTGTTGGCATTTTATAGGAAACAGAGTTACCTATTTTGCTGCATAAGAATTTATTAAAACTATAATTAATTAAATTAGCTGCCTCAAATTATAAAATAAAACAAATACCATTGCAAAGAAAAGTTCTGGGTAGACAGAAAAGATATATTTTATTGTTATTTGCCATTTGTAAGAAGGAGGCATTTTTTTCTGTATATTTGTTTGATTTTAAAATTCCTCCTGTAACTCAATCCACACAAATTTATATGCAGATGTTGTAGTGGAGTATGGGCTTGGTCTATTGTGTATTGCCACAGCTACCCAATAACCTTTTATCCCACCAACAAAGCAACACCTCTCTGGACACCTTTGAGACACTAGGGTGTTCTTATTGCTTTGATTGTGAAAACAAGATAATCAAGTTTTATAATATTCTTTTTATAGAACACTACCTACAAAATGCTGAAATTCACTCTGTAATAAGCTGGAGGATAACATACATCTGATTACCATCAACATAGGGTAATATTTCTTTTCAGAACATTCTCTGCATCTAAATAAGCTGGATTCATACTCGGACTTGCCTTCAAGATTCACTGGAAAATTCTTTTCCTGAATTTTATTAATCAATGTAAACTAAATGTCTCTGAACTAATAAGGCTTATCTGAATACAAAGACAGCAAGACATAGAACAAAAGAAGTACTTTTAGCTGACACTGCAAGATAAGTTTCTGTGTACTTTCTGTTTCTGTAGCAAGTATGTTAAACCTGCAGGGATAATGCAAGTAACATTAAAGCAGTGTAAGAATTCACAACACTCATATCCTCATTCAAAAATGGCTTGTGCCCCACATAAGTTTGACTTGTGCTGTAATTTCATGAAGACCTAAATAACTTTACAAGAAACTAGAATTCAAGAACAGGAACTGGGTAGGACAATGAAAACCAGAAAAAAATCAAGAACATCATCTAAATGACAATCTCACTTTTCTAGCAGAAAACCTGTAACAAATGAATTTTTCTGACACATAAAAATATTATGTGATGAGATTTTGTACATGAGGCAAAAAAATTATTAGGAACATTAAACAAAAAGACAAAATAATGAAAATACGTGTGATTTCTAGCATAACTTTCACTGCAATGTTGCATACCTCATTTGCTACAAACGCAAATGCAGTTTAGGACTGTTCTATAAAATTGTTTTTTGCAATCACTTCATCTGATAGGATTTAAAAATCATACTATAAAAAGAGCCATACAGTGAATGTACAGTAAAAAATAAAAAGTTCTCTTGGGAAAGAAAACTTCAAGGTAAGTCTTGCACCATCCATACTAAAAGTAGTGTCTGATGGACTTTCTTCTTTAGTTACTTGGCTGCGCTAAAAGGATTGCATTCTGCTTTAGATGATTGTTACCGATAAAACAGGAGTCCAACAAAAATCTTGATATTATACCTGGTCACTAACTCAAAATTTTAATTCACTGGTCAAAACCTTTTTGTTTTCCAATACCACCTTTATAACTGTTTGGGTTTCCTGTGTGTTTTTGTGTAAACCCACCAAACTCAGTATTAAGAAAAAGAGTCAGTTCTTCCCACGATTCCCCAAGTATCAGGTAGGACACTTTGGATAAATCTACTTAAAACTTTGCTTCCCTGTTCTTCCAAGACCATTCTTTCCATCATATGCTAAAAATCACCTGTAACTAGTATATTATCCTTACTATGTTTATACATTGATTTCATAAGCCAAGCCCTTCTGAGGCAGCTCTTTCAATAGGTTTGTTTTTAAAAATACAGACTCTTGATTTGCTAGCTCTAAATCTCCAGACTACTTATTGAACATGACCAAACAGAACACCGTGTTCTAGAGTAGTAAGAAGCTGTTTCTGGGGCAAGCACTCAGCATCTAAACAAATTGATTTTAAAGAGGTTTGTTGACCTCAGTTAGCCTGGGTTAGGATTTCTTATCCTTATTAGCACTTCACAAGCTCAGAAATCACCATACTTTCTTTTAACATAAATGTGTCCAGACTAGTAGTAAAACTCCCCATACTTGAATTGAATGCAGTCAAGAAGAGCTGCTGCACTGAAAGCTGGTTTGGTACAACCTTGCACAGAAAAGGCAAACATCATTTACCTTCTTGTTTAGATCACAGCATGTTCCTAGAGCAAAAATACAGGCTGTTCAAGATGAGATGGGTGAACTTGTAAGCTGAAAATTCCCATTCTGTGGCTGTCTAGCATCATGATAAATTGCAGAGAACCTCATAGGATCATAACTCTTCTCTGCCAATTATGGTAGGGAGCTGCTGGGCTTTTACTCATCCTATCTGAGGAGCACAACCAAAACAAGAGCCCTCATCTCTGAGCACTTTAGGCCTACCAATCAAATGACTTACTGCAAGGTAAGGATGTGATTTCAAGTCCTTTACAAGTCTTCCAGAGTTGTCATTCCCATAATTTAGGTGGATGTCTGACACAATGGATGGAGGAAGGAGAATGGTCACTTCCTCCTTGCCTGACCCTTAGGTGAGATTAGATACAAGCTGAGCATGTCATATAAGCACAAGTGGGACTGGTTTTGAATAGCTACCCAATCTGGACAGAGTCTGTAAACCAGGCTTTAAGCAGTTTCATAGGAATTTACTCTGTGTGGGCATAGTGTCCCAGAACTTGCAGGCCAAAGAACTTTAGGAGCCTTCCAGATTAGGTTGCATTTTGTGAACGTCTTACAGCATCATTTGACCACCCATTTAATTTTCATCATCATGAGACAGTTAAGTTTCACAGTGAAAGTAATCTTCAAGTAATTTAGAGTCTACAGGAATTTGATTTGAATCTTCTTGATTTCTGTCTCCTGTTACTATTTATGTTACTTTGTCCAGAACACTCCTTTAAAAAGTTTTTCAAATGGCATCAAATACCACTTACAGGAAGAATCAGTTTGGGGATATCTTTATGGTAGATCACTCTTGCTTGGATACAATCTGAAAACCTCATGTAAATGAATGTGGAAAGGAAAAAAAAGGAAAATAGAATAATAGAATAATTTAGATTTGAACTGACCTCAAGGATAATTGACTCCAACTGTTAGCCCATTATTGCCAAGTCCACCACTAAACCATGTCCCTAAGTGCCACATCTACAGGTCTTTTAAATACCTCCAGGGACGGTGACTCAACCACTTCCCCGGGCAGCCTGTTCCAATGCTTGACAACATGTTTCTACAGCTGAAAATGGCGCAGCTTAGCTTGGCTGACAAATTCACTGCAAGGCTACAGATGTCCAGATTGGTTACTCTTAATAGGAAAAAAAAAAGGAAAAATATTGAATAAAAACAATTCAATGAAGATCAAGTAATTATTAACTAGTTACATGAATTGACCCACAAAATAAAGAAGTCAGAGGGAGTCTAAGTGGACATCTGAGGAGGTTCTCAGGACCTATCCAAGAAGACCCATGACAATTTGTTCTCTCTTTTGTCATTTTCAGTGGAAAATTTCTGTATGGGAATAAATAAGGCCAATGGTATTTCAGTAGATGCATATTTCTATATGTTAGGTTGTAACAGCTGTCACAAAGAAACTGTGAGATGAATACAACAGTGACAGCAACCACACTGAGTCATCTGCTGTCATCAGTTGCTCATTTACACATTCTGGTAAATTCTTTACCACTGGGCTTACATTTAGACAAATTTTATTTAAATTTATATGAACTCACACATTTAAGACTGTGATTTTGCTTTGCATTTTTAATCAACGATAGCCTACAAGACAGTAAGTTTTAATGTCATGGACACATGGATGTCACGGTTTAACCTCAACTGACAAGTAAGCACCACACAGCCACTTACTCAGTCCTCCTTAAAGGAGTGGGAGAGAGAATCCAAAGAGAACTCAAGAGTTGAGATAAAGACAATTTAACAGGGAAAGGAAAAATTGTGCACACAAGCGAAACCATTCACCTCTCCCCATGGAAAGGCTGGTGTTCAGGAAAGCCATCTCCAGGAAAGTAGGGCTCCTTCACGCCTAATGGTGACTTGGGAACACAAACACTGTCACTATAAACACCCCTCTTTCCTCCTTCTTCCTCACCTTTATACACTGAGCCTGATGCCATATGGTCTGGAATATCCCTGTGGTCAGTTTGGATCAGCTGTTCTAGCTCTGTCGCTTCCCAGTTCCTCACCCTGCTTGCTCGGTGGGGGTGGTGGTGTGAGGAGCAGAAAAGGCCCTGCTGAGCAATAAGGAAAATATCTCCACATTGATCACAGTTTCCAGCACTAATCCAAAACA